GCCATCCAGGAAACCTGGGCGGATCCATCGGACAGCAACGGGATGTACGTCATCAACGGCTACAAACTCATAAGAGCGGACCGGGACACCTTTGGTGGAGGAGTCGCCACATACATACCACACAGCTGCCAACACGAGACAATTACCATTCCCATGACTCAAGCGGAATGTTTTTGGATTAGAATAACAATCGGCCAAGCCTCCCTTGTGGTAGGGAACATCTACCGTCCCCCGCGGTCCGACCCCGCAGAGTTCGTGATGGAACTGGAGAGAGCCATAAAGCTAGTTGAAAGACCCCAGGATGAGATACTTCTCCTTGGTGACTTCAACGCCAAGAACTGCTTGTGGCACCCCAGCGACACCACCGATGCCTTAGGTGAGGACCTGCATTGGCTGTGCGAGACTCGTGGCCTCACACAACACGTCTCCTTTGCCACCCACCTACGCCAACACACACCTACATCGTGCCTGGACCTGGCCATCTCTAGCCTCAGCCGCCATAACATCACCATCACAAGCCTGCCCCCTATGGGTGCCTCTGATCATGTTGCCATACAAGGCAACATACGACCCCAACAGCACACCACCCACAGAAACAATAATACAAATAATAATAAAAATGAGAGCAGTACTACACAGCAAAGCACCTCCAGCACATACTGGTTGTGGAGCGAGGAACGCATTGCGTCCCTGCGTGAAGCTCTTGCTACCTGCAATCTGCAGTACGATCCACATCCCACTGACCCTCAGCCAGTAACCTCATTCTGGAACTTCTGGAGAGACCAGATACTGAAACTAGCCGTGCACCACTGCCAAGTGACCAGAAGCAAGTCCCGCAAAAATTCTACGCCCACTCGTCCCTGGATGACGAAGGATCTCCTCAGCCAGATCAAAACAAAGCACAAACAGTTCCGCACCTACAAGGCGACCCAACTAGACTCAGATTGGAAACTGTACACAGCCCAGCGTAACCGAGTAACCGCTCTTTTGCGACAGGCTAAGTCCGACTTTGTCCAGCAAACAACGTCAACGGGTACAAACCTCCACCGTCTACTGAAGCACCTGAAAAAACCGCCTAAGCAAACAATTCCCACACTATCGACAGCCAACTCCACTGCAGCCACGGCTATGGAGAAAGCAACAGCTCTCAACAAGTTCTTTATCTCCCAAAGGCAAAGCCAACAGTCCGTCGACAAGACCACCTGTACTACACCAGACATCAACACTACGCCTGACATCAGTCATACTCTAAATACAATCGCAGCAACAGTGGAAGAGGTCGAGAAGCTTCTATGCAGTCTAGACACTGGCAAGAGCCCAGGCTTTGACAACATCCCAACTCGGCTCCTGAAAGAAACTGCAAAGGAAATCTCCCCATCTCTCACTAGTCTCTACAATCTGTCCTTCAGAACCGGAGAAATACCACAGGATTGGAAAGACGCAACTATTACACCCATCCCCAAGTCGGGCAACCCCTCCCATCCTACCAACTACCGACCCATCTCCCTGCTCAGTATAATATCAAAAACACAAGAAAAAATAGTCCACTCTCGTCTGTACAATCACATAGCACCGCACTTACCCTCCAACCAATCCGGCTTCAGGAAACAAGACGGGACCGAACTGCAACTCGCACGGATCGTCCACCAGATATCCACAGCTAGGGATGCGGGGAAGCATGTTGTAACGTGTTTCTTCGATCTCAGTAAAGCCTTTGATCGTGTATGGCATCAAGGCTAGCTGAAAAAGCTGAGCCACTATGGTGTCGACGGCAAGGCTCACAATTGGCTCGAAGCCTACTTGACAGGACGCAGACAGCGGGTGCAGGTTGAAGGCACAACATCCGCCTTCATACCAATACCAGCAGGAGTGCCCCAGGGCTCGGTCCTGGGACCACTTCTGTTCCTGGCGTACACCATTGACCTGCCCACTGCCTGTGAAAATGCTACAACCTCGTGTAGCCAGTTCGCGGACGACACCGCACTAATTGCCATTGCAGGCAGCTACATTGAGTGTGAGGCTGCGCTACAAAGAAGCGTCGATGCCGCAGCAGAATGGCTAGAGCGCTGGCACCTGCTAGTCAATAAAACGAAAACCGTCATCCTCCCGTTCTACCATGCTAACCGACCCCCACCACGACTACCCGAAATAAAACTTGGCCAAACCCTATTAGAAACAGTAACACAACATCGTCACCTCGGCATCATCTTTCAGCACGACCTAAGATGGTCAGCCCACCTTGACTTTGTGCTGAAGAAAGCCGTAAAATCTTTTAATATTCTCTTTAGGCTCAAATCAACTCTACACACTAAATCACTCTCTCTCATTTACAAAACGTATATCCTGCCTATAATTGAATATGCATGCATTGCTGTCACCCCGCTCTCAATCGCAGCTCTTGACCGTCTGGAGCGAATCCAGCGCAAGGCGGCCAGAATCTGCCTCCGTCTCCCCCTTTACACTCCTCTGGATCATTCAACACTGCTCCATCGGCTCAAATGGCCGACAATGTTCTCTCGCCGCAAAGTGAAGCTTACCCTTCTTGCTCACTCCATAAAATACCAATATGCCCCACAACACATACGCTTGCTCAACACCCCCGCTCAAGTTACGGCCCAGTACAGCCTTCGACACGCACGCACTTGGCACCTCCCACCCTCCAGAACCGATCGCTGTAAAGACTCCCCACTGTACAAGTCCCTAGAATACTACAATGCCCTCCCTGCTAGCATTCGTGACATCTCCTCCCGACCTGCTTTCAAACAAGAAATCTGCTCACTGCTGATTAACTCAATCTGCTCCTGCAGCGCTCACCCTCTCCCATACTTGTAAAGTTCAAAGTGATGTAAATCACTTTCCAACTGTTTAACCCACAATCTCACCTTCTCATCAATTTATCTCTTATTGGCGATGGTGCCATCGTGAGAATAAAGAATTCAAACAACAACAACAAAAACAGCAACAGCAACAGCAACAGCAACAACAACAACAACAACAACAGCAACAGCAACAACAACAACAACAACAACAACAGCAACAGCACTCCAACACACCATTTTCACGTCAACACATAGTAGAGTACATAGTATTAGACCAGCCCTGTTCATCCACGATTAGGCCTTGACAGATTATGCTAATATGTTCGTGAAATTATGCTTTTCGCATTGCTGAAAAAATTGCAGAATTATGCTATTTTTATGCTAAAAGTCATCATAATTATTTTGCCGCATATTGCTCACATATGCTGCTAATATTCTTAACTCTTAGTCATTGTTGTGATTTGCTTTCAAGCAATGTGCATAATCAGTAAGTTGATGTTGCTGTTTTTGTTTTGTATTTTTTTGGTTTCCCGTTCTCGGGGCCATCTATTCGGTACTCTTTGTAGTTGTACTTCTGTACTGTTGAGCTATCCGAATTCAAATAAACATTAAACATATATATATACATATATAATTATAATGGTCCTGTGCAAAATAGCAGGGGAATTTTTTGTAGAGGGCGTTGTACTGTAGTCGCAAAAGTTCAACGGGGTCAACGCACCGTCCGACCTAGCTACGACCAGGGAGTATTGTACTACTACTCCCTGGCTACGACCGTCACCTGGTCACCATGGTCACTGATTGTAGTGGATTGGACATGTTCTCAAGGGAGTCGTAAACCTATAGATACGACTTCCTGGTGCATCTACTTGTACTTGTACTTGTAGAACATGTACAACTGTATGGATTTTGATGCGAACAGGCGGATTATTCCAATTTTATGCGATTCGTATGCAATTTGCCTCGAATTATGCGATTATTCGATTTTGGTAGGAATTATGCGAAAAATCATGCTAGCATAATTTGTCAAAGCCTATCCACGATCACCCAAATGTGCAGTCTGTAGCTGAGTTGTCAAGTTGCTCAGAGACGTCATGTCATTGTGGTGACATGTGTTTGGCAACAACCAGATATAAAATAGAATTTTACGACAATCAGATTGACAACACCAACACAACCCTGGTCTGTATGGGACTGTACCCTAAGACATGATGCCATCAGCTCTTTGTCCGTGTTTGATGAGAAGAGCGTAGCATTCTGACGAGTAGGTTGTGGTGTACTTAGTAAAAAAAATTAAAAAAATTGAATCGTGATTGGTTACAGGTAGTGTTGTTACGTGGTAATGGGGTAGGTCCCCCATTATGTGTGTAGTCTACATGTGTGAATGTGATTCTTGTCACCAATGTAAACAACATCTGTTATGGTCTCGGTCTGTGCAGAGCGCGACGACATCGTGCAGACGTTAGGCCCAGACAGATCCTGCTGGCAATTCTTTCGGCAAAATATCGAAGAATTTAAAGAGCGGAAAATGCCGGAAAAATCAGAGCAAAAATTAATATCGAGATGTTGGGTAAAATAGATGCCTGATTCTTAGATTTCCTTGGTTCAGCAGGAAGTTTAATTTTATTTTCATTATTTTATTGGTTTGGCGAGACTACCATGATAGGTATCCATTTACCTCTGGAGAATCCGTAAATAAACAAACAAACAAACAAACACTGCCCAGGACGAGATCATGTGACCGAAATATCACTGGGATTCACTGTGGATCCACATGATTTTTCAAGAACTAAGGGACACGTCACACGTGCGTGGAAATCCGTGTTGAGAAACCGACCCTGCGATTTTATGAAAAGTTGTACGGGATTGTACGGGAATTGGATAAAATACACGTTTTTCCGGAGCAAAATGGAGCAAAATATCGAGATTCTTGTGCCAGGCTCGGCAAAATATCGAAGATTTCGCAGCAACTTTTGCGGCAAGATATCGAGGCGAGCGGAGCAGAATCTGTCTGGGCCTAGCGCCTAGCAGACGTGCAGCATAATAAATTATCACGTGACAAACCACGACACACGCGCACACGCAGTGCTGCGGACACGAGATGCCTGAGTTCTCGCTAAGGCACACAGCCATAAATTGCAAAGCTAAACCAGTATGAGTAATGTATGAGTAGATAGCCGG